GACACCAACGAGTAACGAATGAATTGGCCAGCCAGCCAGCCAGCCTGGCTGGCTGATGCACCCGTGGTTCCCGGCCACCTACGAGTTCCGCCAGATTTGCTGTTAACCGGAGTGCGATTATCACTATTACAGTCACTTCTGCCATGGCCTTTGTCGTTGCTATCGTCTTTTCTGCCTGCCGGCTAGTTTCTGCTGCTGTTTCTGAAGGCACGCTACACTGCACGCGGTAGTAGTGGGGGTAAAGTACGGGAAAAGAAAGGCAAGAACAAGTAGAAAACAAAAACGCACACCGGCACGGTGAAATGAAATTGGGAAGAATCGGAAAGGGGAGAGTTACACAGTGACCCAGTACTCATTGGTGCATTTTGTCGCTGCTGACGTCGTCGTCGTCGTCGTTCTGGAAGTTGGCGGCAACGCCGATGGTAGTGAGTGCCGTTGTTATGGTCGTAATAATTGCGTCCATATTAAATGCGTTGGCCGCTGTTGCATGCAAGGAATGAAAAACATTGTCCTTTTTTTCTCTCATCCCTTTGACGTCTTTTTACTCACATAAGAGTTGTCATCTTTATAATTGTCATTAGAATAACGATAACGCTGGCGACGGCACCGATGGTGGTACTGGCGATGAAAAATGACGAGCTGGTGAAGATATTGAAGAGGGCTGCTTTAACTGCAAACGAGATAAGCATCGTGCAAAATACGTATGCAATGAGGGTCACAGTGGCAGACGCTCATTGTAGCAATATTATTGATATAGTTGTAGCTACAACACTAACCCATTGCTAGGTCAAACTACTCGTCAACTTCAGTTTCTAGGATAAGCTATTTAAATCCAGTTAACTAAGATATCATTTTGATATATGCCAGACAAATGCCTGTATATAATATGAAGACAATACAAGGAATTTGGTGCCACTTCAATATATAGCAGTGCGTATAACCCGCAATAAACAAGTATGGCCGTTGTATGTCAAGCGGTAGCATAATCGGCCTTTTAGTATGTTTTCTAGCATGACAGGTTTGGTTGACTGGAAAAAAATACTGATAACCGTCAGCTTGATTTAGGCCAAAAATTTACAGTATCCAGGATCTTTCTCAATCGATTAGATATTTTAAAAAATAGTCCAAATTACAGCAATTAAATGCAGAGAAAAAAAAAAAAACAAAAAAAAACGCTGTATCAAAATAATAGCTTTCTATAAAATGATCGCTCTTTTCCAAGAACAATTTAGAAACAGCCTCACGTATGCTGAAGCTGAGGGCTATAAACTTATATACATACCTTTAATTAAACGATATGTACCACGCTTCTCATATATCAAAAAACAGCCTATTGTAGCTTTAGACAGATACAATGAAATACTTGTATCAAACTTCAAAGACTCTTGCTCAACCTATTATGTATTTTAAAAACGTATACTATTGGCGACGAAAACAAAATTTGAAAAACAAACAGGTTAAAACAGCAATGGCCGTCACGATTCCATTTACCTTTGTAAGCATGTAATATGTTCAGCAACGCTTTTAAGATGACCATTTCTTGCTACAAATAGCACCAAGTCAGTCATCATTCGGTTGAATAATATCGTAACCCTACATAGCCATTCTTCTATTCTCCCCTTGCCCCAAACGACAATCCATGTTTTTAGTTCTCTTTGGCCTATCTTGCAAAAAACATAGTCGTGCATCGTGCTGTATGCGCCGCCACCTGTAGCAGTGGCAAGTACGCTGATAGTACCTCTTTTGATTGCAAGGTTAAGTCCAAGCCTTATACACACAGCGGCTGTAGCTCCCTTTTTGGCCAATGGCAAAGGTGGCTCGTCTGACGGAATTGTCGATTTTGATGGAACAATTAAACCAAGATAAAATAAATTATACATTGCATGTGATGGCAATCTATCTCCGACCTGTACAACAACAATATCAGTCACGACAGTAATGAATACAGCCAGCACAAACATCTGCCAATATTTTTTGCGCCCTTTTTGGCAAAAGCCCAACACATTACACAGAGCCCGTTGCTGCCTGTAATACTAGCACTAGTTGCTAAATAACAGTTGGAGAGTTATCTACCGGTTACCTGACTCATGGCGCGGCGGAATAGCGGTTTCATGGAAAAGAGAAAGGTCAGGGGGTAGGGTGGGGTGGGGGGATGGAGGATGGCCGAAAAAACGCCACCTCTCGCTCGGGTCACCGTTAGCGGCACGACAGAGCAGCGAGTTTGGCCAAACTTTGCTGTTTTCTCTGAATACTATTACGACGACTTAACAACTAAAACTGCTACCACAACTACTACCATTAGTGTAGCTCCGCAGGAAACGAAAGGCCTGCGAAAGCATTGCATGGAGAGGAGAATTGGAATTGCAGCCGTAGGCACTCCAGCAGAAGCGACAGAACCCATCAAACGTAACCCTGACTGAGACCAACCGATGGCGCAGCGGCTGCTCTGACTGCGGGGAACGCTTTGGGCGTCTCGCGATGACGATGGACGCACTGGCAGCATTAGCCGCGGTGAGAACTCCGGCGGCTCGCGACTCATCGCCTCCAGAAGTGGGTCACGATAGGTCGTCCCAGAACAGCAATAAAAGCGATCTGACAGAAAAGCGGCCAACTGGAAAGAGCAAACCAATGCTAACAACAGCGGTAATAGCGCTTCCCTCTCTGCCTCTTACGTCAGCATTACGTATTCTGTCTATGGAGAACTGTCGGCCGGCCGGATAATGCAGGGAACACTTCTGTTGTCGTCGTTGCTGCTGCCGCGGCCGTTTCTGCTGCTACCGGCAGAACGCGGTAACAACACGAAGGCGAGCGTATGGCCGAAACGCGGCTGAGAAAGAGTGCCTCTAGTGCTGATACTGCTGATGCTACATACATAGATGGCTACCTCACTTCTAACCGCCGATCCATTGCGCCGCTCCGCGTCAACGACAGCGTCGTCTTCCTTTTTTGTAGTTTCTTGCTATTTCATAGAAACAACAACTACAGTGCCGCTGATAGTGGTGATGGACGCGGCGGCGGCCATACAGGCAAAAGACGGCGAAGACGTAGCGAAAAGGATCTTCTCCGATTGTGCCGCCGCTGCTTCTATCCATTCTCCATCTCGTCCTCATCCGCTCATTCCATCCACCCTCATTCCGTCCACTTTGTGCACTCCTTCTTCATCGTCTGCTGTCGTTTCTTCGATGTCGTTTTGGTTCTTCCCATCGCTATCGTTTTCGTTGATGGCATTGCTGTGTAACGCTTCCCTTGGACCGAAGTTCTCTTCGGTTCCTCGATTCGTGCGTCTTCTTCGGCTACTCCGTCGTCTTCTAGGCCGCCTGCTTGGCTTTCCCGTCTTGTGTTGTTCGTTGCGGTCGCCCTCGTCTTCTGTGGGTTTAAACCGCCGTTGGCTGCGATGACACTGGCATTAAACGACAAGCAAGGGTGACGGCAGAAATTCGTACTAGCCGTTCGTCATGGCTGTCTGTTGGCTTCGTCTTCTTTTTCATCCCGTCTTTCGCAGTCTCTTTATTGTCTCGCCCGATAGTCTGCCCTACCTGTAGCTGTCTTGTCATTGCGAGTGCGTTTCTCGTCGATTATTTTTTGCGATGCTGCAGCTTTTGCTCCCGATGCTGTTGCTCCAGGGCAGAACTGAGTCCTTTGACAAACAGACCCCGTGCGGACGCACGAGCAACAAGTACGTAGTAGTTGTTGTAGGCCGTGAACCAACACTATCGACTATTTGACCCGGTTGTCTAACAGTTTCGTACGACTATGAAGATGTGCAACGAAGCATCGACTTGTACAGCAGTCCACCAATACAATCGGCCGGGCGCCACTCAGTCACGCAGCAGCAACACATTTACCGCTGACGCTTCAACGTTGGTCGGTATGACCACGTCGCGTCTCATAACCGCGCCCACCTTCGCCGGTTTTTCTCCTGTTGCATCTTTTCTCGTTTAGTACTTTTTCGGCCTTTCCGTTAGCCAACCAGCCAGCGAGCTAATCCATTCCTATAATATGACTCGATCGCAATTGTCGTAGTTGTAATGGTGCCGCTGTGATGGAACGGGTGAAGATAGCAGCAGCAAGCTACGACAACAGATCGTGGATGTCTATCTTCTGCAGCAGCTATCCAGTTTTGCGGTCGTAGCGGGAGCGTTACGCGCAAAATCATCTGGGCGATGACGCAGGCAGCGATCGGTGATACTCCTATTCGACTGGCCTCACTTCACTAGGCTTGAGGAAAAGTGAGACCCGAGACGCTATCGATACGATCCGACGCGAGCAGAAAAGGCGAAACCGCGGCGAAGGCCAGAAGAACCATTTCGTCGCTGCTGTTACGAGCAGTCATCGTCCAGAAATACCGCCTCGAACAGCAGCAACAACAATACTATGATGGCATAACCGATACTGACATGAGGGGCGGTAGGAGGGGGCGAAACAGGCAGAGAACGGCCTGTTTTTGTTCTGATCTTTTTCTATATACGACTAAACAGAGTAGAGTCTATTTTTTGTCTCCATTCAGCCTGCGGCAAACCCTGCCGGTTCATCAGCTTGGAAGTTCGTTATAAGTAACGCTAAACAGTTTATGACACATTGACGCACGACGACCAACACGCGTAACCTACTTCCTTATATAAGTACTCAGCTGGTCCATGCAAATTGCGGCTTCGTTCAAATATACGTATAGAAAAGTAACATTGATTGAGATATACGAGCAGAATATCGAATAGAAACGGAAAAGGAAGTCGATGATAACTCCGATATATTCTACATAGATTTAGCAGTCTGTCGTGTTGAACGAAATATATATACATGTAAAATTTCGTAGAAGTGATTTTCACACAGCTAATCTGGACCTATAGAGGATTCTGCTCTCAGTCGTACAGAAAAAAAATAGATAAAAACGTGTGCTGACATGAACACATTTGGCAAAAAAAAGCGTCAGGTAAACATGCAATGACGTTCCACAATACGTTCTATCGCTTTCTTTTCATCAACGGTTGCGTGGCGTGCAGGGCACATTGGAAACGAGTGCTGTAACAGGACGGATGGAGCCGCGTTACCCAAAATGGAGGCGAAACCTTTTCCGCTACCTAGTCACCCTACCGGTAATTTCTGTTTGTCTCGTTGTTGTGCTGGGCGTCATGCTGCTGATGCTTCAGCTGCAAACATGGACCGACAAAAGGTTAGTATCAAGGTTGTATTATGATTATTTCGGGAAATTGCTACTTTTAGAGCACTTTTAAGGAAGGCCACGCAGCTATCACTGCTGACAGCTGGACTATCGAAGGAATAACTAACCCCTTCAAAGTATCGTTGATTTTCTTTTACGTAGCTATACCATATCGTAGTGCGGCCATTCGCTTTTAGCACGAAGCCACGAAAGAGTTCCTTTCTACCTTTTCCTGAATACTGAGGGGCAAAATTCAGCCTGGACGGGAACGACGAATTAGGAGTTCTACATAGAAACGGATTTAGCTAGTTCATGTGGAATCTAGTAACGAAAGCATCACCTCGAATGCTTCATAATCGAACAGCTGTTTTTTTTCTTTACGTGGCATTAGCTCAGCAATCTCACGATCCCGTGTCCGTCTCCTCTCTGTATATCAAGATAAGTATGTCAAGTACGACTGCATATACGATGCGGTCAGTGTGATTGAATCAGGTCTACACAACTAAAGCACTAAACACTATCAGACAAACTCATATGCTATCTACGACTTGTATCATATGTTACCAATCTGGTTGTTTAATACGCTATTTCAGCGAGGTGCCAACACATATATTAGGCCAAAAGAAGCGTCTTGGTGAGGTACGATAAGGTCTTATCTTAAGCACAATGTTGACTATTGCTGCGAAGGACGCTGAACAAAATTTCATTGACGATGCTGTAGGGAGGCAATTGATTATTTCGAGTGCATTTAAGTAACAGCCGAGTTAGCACAGAGCCGTTTAACGCCCTAGACGCCCTTTAGACGCGCGTTTAGACGCCCCCTTGTTTAGGAACAACTAAACTCTCGATTTTTATACACATAAACAGCAAAATACTTGAGGGACTATACGCACACGTCGCTCAATTTCTTCGTAGAGCATTAGATATATTCGCGCAAGTTATGCGGGATGTGTTGAAGTTTATATTATATTGAGCTAGCTAGCTAGAATCTTTAGAAAACTTTGGAAGAAAAGCGATCCTTATTTTTTCATAGATAAATTGTTCTTCGACTGGCACACGATTAAAATAGAAATTTATTGCTAGCATTTTATAAATGACCTACATAGATTGAAAAACATCCACAGACAAACTAAGATAGGGCAAAATCCGATCAAATAGTTCTCATCGAACCGATTTCATTGGTTTCCTATGAATGCATCTATGAAAATAGGGCAATCACCTATCAACAGTGACGCTTCACCATTTATCCATATTGCGCATGGCAGTGACAGAATTTCATTCTAATTCAATCATATATCTACAGTTCCTAATTTGAGCTAACTAACGAGATTAAATTTAGTTTTTTGTATGATTAACAATTCATAGTCACATTCATCGTTAGGTTGATGATGAAAAATGGCCTAATCTTACCTCAGTGATAACAATAAGTGAGCAGCGTTGTTGTGAGAGGCTTCATCCAACTAACTCTACGCATTCGCCAGGATCGGGCTCGCTATAGGGTGTTAGGCGAGTCCTAAAACCTGTAGCGTTTAGGAAAGTTACGTAAACCGCCACGATAACAGACTAAAAAAGCAGTCCGTTAAAGCTCGTTATTTCCTAATCATGCGTTCCCCAATTTCGTGTCCTAAAAGAAACGTGACTCTATAGCGAATGAACGTGCTATCTTTTTGGGCTAAACTGTTCCACTTTGTTTTAACGCCGTAAGGTTGTGCCGCTTTCCGAGCACCCTGTATGACTGTGCACCAGTTTTGCCTCGGGTACCCAGCCCAATAGGTTGTTCTCAATGGGCGATACAATGAATTTTCGAGGAAAATTAATACAGTAGACTTATGTCGTCTTATGTTATCGACACAGGTTTACTGAGCCTTTAAGCGATTGACAGAGCTTATCTGCTGCCCGGACTAAAGGCTTCGAGTACTCGTAGCAGCCCTGTTACTCAATCACAGGATGATGATACAGTGTTACCTAATGAACACTTATCATCTTGTATCTGGCATACTGTGGCTCTTCAGAGCCAATGAAGCCAGCCACCGAAAAGTCATTTTGATTCAAGTACAATGGACTTCACTTATGAAGATAGGCGCTTCTGAAGCTCCTCCCAAAAAATAGACGTGAATCAACACATCTTTGTTATCAAATTGTTCGTCAACTTCCTTTATAACGAAATGAACGGTAGGGTTATCAAAAAAAAAAACCAGTAAAAATGAAGGCTCTATTCAGGCGTCTAAGATGTGTGCGTATAGCAAAAGCTGTCAAGCTAAAGAACGACATCTATTTAAATATACCGTTACAAATCTACTACTAGGATATATCTTTAACTGTATTGGCTCGTAAAAAGAATATAGTTCATGTCAGAGCCCTCATTTCGTAGGAGAAAAACGTAGGATCAATCTAATTCAAATTAAGAGTTTACGATCTATTCATACAGCTGGCGTGCGCTAGTCACCCTAAATTATTATTATTTTTTTTAAGTATTTTATGGTGGTATATATATCCAGTGTTGATTTCTCAGCGGCGATGGTGTTCGGAACGTGCGCGGACCGATTACTCCATACAATCAACGGCCACATGACTAGCGAGCGTCGTCCACCGACAGCTCTTCATAAAGAGCAAACATTGAACCTTGAAGGCCAATGTGAGTGTCATCTAATGTTTGCCCTTGACTGTTTTCACCACATCCGCTTATGATACTGACGGCAAAACTACCGTTGTTGCTATTACTGCTGCTTCTGTTATTGTTACTGCTACGTTCATTCCCAGCCTCCGCCTTGCAGACGTTTGTTAAGACGCTACGCGCCGTCGCGCGAACGAACGACCCGATTGCGCGCGCCTTTCCGAGTGAGACACGTTGGCTGGTCGACAGTTGAGCTGTCCTTTGCCGTCGAGTTGACGATAGCGTTGGCAAAAAGTTCAATAACCCATGTATCTATCCGCAACGGAAGCAAGGCCAGACACTGAAGCCGATTTGTTGCTGCCTGTCGGCGCGACGATGACTGCCATACTCGACGTTCGGCGCTTCCGGCTCGAGTTTGTGCGTGTACTTATATATATATATATATATATATATGTATATACGTGAAGCGCTCATAGTCAGCACCTTGCTGACGCTGCTCTGTTGTAGCATTGACGATTAGTTCGGCGGTTCCCAGCTGATATTCGTTAGGTTTAGTAAGTTCGTTTTCGATATAAAGGAATGAAAGTCGTTACTGTAGTTCCTCCGCTAAAAGACAGGTCATAAATAGCAGCAATACGTATCTACAGTATTCCGCCCTGGTAGCTATTGGAGACTTCGCTTTAGATCTATTCTCCAGCCTAGATAGCGGCTAACTGCTGCCTACGATGAGTCCAGTCGGTGGCTATTCCAACGCTTCGAAAAGATCGCAGCTCCATTCGAACGACAAGAACAATAAGAGACCCCCTGAATGGTACAGAGGAAGATTTCTGTGAATACGAGAAAGGTTATAGTAATGGGCACTGTATTAAGGCCGAAAGCGGTATCATGATGCTGAAAATCCGGCAGGAATCGTCCGTTGGTGTCTTTCTTTACGCCAGCAGTTCATCTCGTTCTGCTATCTCTCGAATGTGTCAGTGCGCTGATCTGTGGCTGGTTATCTATCCGTTCGGTAGTGTTGCGCTGAAGGGAAGCTTTCCCTTGCCGGTAGCAGCGACAGTCGCAAAGAAGGACACACCTGATCAGCTGATCTGTACTTTAATCACGATTGGCTGGCCCAAGTGTTTTTCTGTATACAGTCATTCATAAACTAGAATTTAGACGAAAACTCTAAATGTCTGGCGTTACACTTTTCTAGGTATTTCTCTTTAGTGCCTTAACTGTAGTTACATTTGCCTAAATCGGCCACAGTTATGGAGTCTATTTTTGCGACCTTTAATCCAGATCGTAGTTCCGGCTCGACAACGATACCTGCATCTTAAACAGGCCAACCCCCCGAAGCAAATGCCACATCAGCCTTGCGAGAAAATGCAGGCACCGAAAACATCTGTTTTTGGTCAATACTTATTAATGAGCTGAAAAACTCCTTAGTATTGATGCCAAATCTTGTCATTATTTCGGACATTAATTTATGAGGTAGTCGCAGGAAATGCCTATTTCAGCATCTTGAAGCGACCTCACACAACCTGGCCCCCACTTTGTCTGTTATTAACAAAATGTGCTAGGCGATTCTCTGCTGCAGACATAATTTCGCAAAAATTTACCGTTGAAGTAACTGTATATATTTTCATCTTAAACAAAATAATTTATTGAACAATCAGCTTGTCCCCAAACATTTGAAGATTAATACTGATTCCTACCAAAAGATATCTTTGATTCGTAGAGTGAGGTTCAGGACTTTCCTATTCAACCCGTTGCTGCTAAGAACATATTTTTTGCCAGAAAGGAAATTAGGAGCACCCAATAAATTCATCAAATATCAACAAACCTTAATAAGGAATTAGTTCTAAAAAGAAAAATATAGACAATAAAACAGAACTACAATATAGGTGTGGAGCGAAATTAACGCCAAACATTTAAGTTGTTTGTTCGCCACGTATGTTTGTTTGCCAGTGACATACATCTTCGAGGAGATCCGTAACTTCGCTTCAGACAAGCCGGTGCTTCTTAGCTCGCCGCGACAAGTTAATGAGTATTCTTTTTAAATAAAACGAAAGTGTTCAGCATTCGAGTTAGTTAAAATTGCTTACAGCATAACTTAGATTAAATTCTTATTATGAACAATTCTATAGTTAGATAAACGATTTATCTAACGATTGAGAACGTTAAATTGACAAAATTGCATTTTTTTTCAAAGTAAAGAACTAAATTCATCTTGCCGTATTGACAAAGGTTTCTCCCGTGATCCGGCGATCTTTGTACTATAATAATAATAAGGTCGTCAGCCTTAGACGAGCGATTCAATTGAAACGGTTTCACAAGGCAGAGCTCGCTTTTCTCAGAACTTAAAGTATCCACCGAGTCCCTGGAATTGGTTTTTCTATTGACAGTTGTTCCTTCTCGTGGTGGCAAACGAAGGCCATTGGAACCGACGACAGCGGCAGCTAACGTTAACCAATAATACCGGGCCAGCGCAGCGCGTCGTTTGATCAGAAAAGCCGAGAAGGGAACGGGAGCCCGTTGCGCCAACCCGGGTTCCCTTACCCTCTAACACCGGTTGATTTGGTGGTCGTGCCACTAGCCAAGGCGGCTGACCCAGAAACCCTGAACTTGACGTAGCAACAGCGGCTTGTCCCGTCAGCAATGGCACGCGTTGAGTCGCGACCAGCATTGGCTTTACCTGGCCTCAGGCTTTCTCAGACTTCGTTAGCTTAACAAAACAATACAGTGACCTACAAAACGGTTCGCTACAAGCCGGAACTACCTCTACGTAACCTAAACCTTACGTAATCTAAGCCCCCCAGCTAGTTGCAACTCCCGTTTCAACGATGATTTCGGGTTACAACGACTGCCGTTACTTCAGTCACGAATGGGTCTTCGTGTCTCCTAAGGCGGTTTTTCAAAGACTTTTCAGGTTTTGCTGTTTCACGCGAGTACAAAGCTATCATTCCCATCCTCTTCCGAGGTCCTGCTGTTTCTTGGCCAGGTTTTGGTCGGCTGGTTCGTTTCAGTCGTCACCACCATCATAATCGCCGACATCGCTGTCGTCGTCCGTATTATCCGGCACTAGCATCGTGGCCAAAAGCAGTGCTATCGTTGAGTTGGCTGGTCTCCTCCTCGTCCTCCTTTCTCACCGTTGTTTCCCTCTTTCAGTGGTGGCAGCGCGGACTCGCGTCTTTAGATCACTGGGTCATCCTCCTCAGGTTCATCGTCCCTTGCTGACCCGCCGGCAGAGGATTGCTGCTGCTGCTGCCGCCGCCGCTGCCGCCGCTCTGCGCCACCATCCCCGAACACCACCGTTAACAGCGACGGCTACGACGCGCCGCGCTGTTACTTCCGTAGTGCCGTTTGGCGATAGCGCGCGTCGCTCCGCTCCCAGCCACTGAGCCGCCAGCAGCAGCAGCAGCAGCAGCTGAGCGGCCTGCAGAGTCTGCTGCCTACCGCAACCTGCAGTAGTCGTAGGGCCGTGGAACCGCAAGCCGTTTTGTTCGCCGTTGTGCCAGCTGCTACGGTCACTATTGCTGTTATTTTGTTGTTAAAACTAGTGGTAATGGTTAGTTAGGTGCGGAAAATTGGTCGTGGCAATCGCGTCCTTCGGGAAGTCGGAACAGAGTGACTAACTTTTTGAAAAGGGTGCAATTCTTGGACTCGGCTCTACATAGAGATAGATAAATAGATAGATAGATAAATATATATATATATATATATATATATATATATATATATGTGCATACGAACTTAGAGCGGAAAATAACTGTGTACCGCAACACAGAGGTGAATGTAAAACTTCGGTGCTGAGTGAGCTTTCTGCTGGTGCTTGTCGTATAGCAAGTACCCTGCTAATTAGTAGCTTGCGGTCAGTGAAGTACAATAGGTGGCTAGAGACATTTGTTGTATACAGAGGCCCGCCTGCCACATAGACTGCAGCCCTGGAGGGCCTCGTGGTTAACGGCGGGATGGATGATTCGGGGCTCGACTCGGTGATGTCGAGTCCCAAAAACTGGATCTCGACACAGAACATGTTCTGCTCTAAAGTAGAGATTCCGCAGCCGAGCACGCCTAGCCCAACGCTGTTAAAGGTTAGAGATGATCTGCTTCTCGAGGAACATACAGTTGTTTCGCCTCCGCCAAAGTGGAAAGTTGAAGAACACAAGGCCATACGCTCACAGATTGAGATCATTCCGTGCAAAGTGTGTGGAGATAAGAGTTCAGGTGTGCATTATGGCGTCATCACTTGTGAAGGCTGCAAAGGTTTCTTCAGGCGGTCGCAAAGTTCAGTAGTCAACTATCAATGTCCACGACAGAAGAACTGCGTGGTTGACCGAGTGAACCGGAATCGTTGCCAATACTGCCGACTCCAGAAGTGCTTGGCATTAGGGATGAGTCGTGATGCTGTTAAATTTGGTCGAATGAGCAAGAAGCAAAGAGAAAAGGTTGAAGATGAGGTCCGCTTCCACCGTGCCCAAATGGGTCTCACAAGCAACCCGTCAACACCGACTCCGGCTACCAGCTCCGACGTGGCGATTCCGGACTCAACAGTGGTCATTTATGAGCCGCCGACCACGTTCCCGCAGCCCCAACAGGTAAACTATCAGTTCCAAGATGACTTGTCCACCGATTTCTATGCATCCGCTTACGACTCGAATGGCCTATGCTCCACAAGTTTCGACGTTGACTTCCCTAACATTCGGAGCATCGACCCTAATCAGTGCAGTGACGTAGACACGCTGTGTTCAACAACACTGGCTTCCACAACGCAGATTCCCACCCAACCCGCACATCTCGACTTGCTCTCGAAAACGATTTGTGACGCCCATCTCCGTACGTGTATTCTCAGCGACCAGGAGATTCGCATGAAGATTCTGCAAGCTAAAACGTCGGGAAATAATAATTCGAAGCTTGATTATTATCGTAACATGTCACAGGAACAGCTTTGGGTCGACTGTGCGCAAAAGCTAACGCAGGTTATTCAGCAGGTAATAGAATTCGCCAAAATGATTCCTGGTTTCATGAAGCTTTCACAGGATGACCAAATCGTTCTGTTGAAGGCAGCCTGCTTCGAGCTCTGCTTGCTCCGTATGACCCGATATTACGACACTGAATCGAATTGTGTCCTGTACGGCGACGTGCTGGTGCCTGCCGATGCATTTTTCACATCGGACGCAGCCGAGATCAAATTCGTCACAAGTGTCTTCGACTTCGTACGTTTTCTCGCCGGGCTCCAATTAGACGACACTCAATTAGCGCTCTATTGTGCGCTCGTTCTCGTCTCACCCGAGCGTGCCGGCTTGAAGTGCGTGGCTGAAATTGAACGAGTATCAAATGCCCTCCAGAAATGTCTTCGCTTCGAGACGTTGCGTGAGCAACCAATCAAGGGTGATGTCAATCTCATTGATCACCTCCTGAGCCAGCAAAGCATTCTTCGAAATCTTTCTCGCTGCCATCTCGAGGCCCTGCGTGCACTTAGGATGTCCTGTCCCGATATTGATCTGCCCCCGCTACATAAGGAACTCTTTTCAACAGACTAGAAGCAATCGTTGTAGCAGAAGACGATGCAAGGGCAACATACCGGCCGAGCGCATATCTACAAACAAAACACATAATGTGAAATATATACACAATAAATACATAGGAATAGATAAGTGGCCGTTATTTGGATCTGTTGATCGATGACGTTCGAAGTTCTATAACGGAACAGTGAAGATGCGATTCGGAATTCATACGATGGCCATCCTGTTATGTTCAGTCATTATTCAATGACAAACATGGATCATGCTGAGGTTTAAAAGAAGCTGGACTAACGCATATATGATACATACGATACTAAATAGTCCAATGTTGTACTTTTCTGTACTACTTCGTAGCCTGTACCCCTTACTCCTCAGTCCCCAACAACCTCTACCCGGAACCCCCCAGTTGTATATACTGTGCGTCGCTGTACATAAATACATAAGTGCGATATTATATGTCGTTTCGTCGACACATTGTGAACTGTAATTGGTGATATTAATTTATGTTATCATTCGCTGGTAATTTAATTTATATATATGATCCCAGCAACAATTGCCTTACAACTATTCTTATTTGAATAATTATAGTTATAAACAGTGGACATATATATATATATAAGAACTAAACGAGAGTAGAATATTTATACAATTGTTGTCGTCGTCCTACATTCCTATATTTATTTGCTTGGTTAAACAGAAGCGGAAACCACACGGGTAGTAGCGCGGTAGAAATCGACGCGGAAAAAGCGTGACTAAGACGCCATAGAGTAGAGAAGATCGAATATGCGCACCATTGCCGTTGTCACAGCTACGAAGGCGTATAGTAGTCGAATTTTCAGAAAATATATAGGGAAGAACAATTTCGAAAAGTCGTATAATGATTTTATTTAGGCTAAAAGTGTCCTGCATTAGGAAAATGAAAGGTCGAAAAAAAGGTCAAGAAAGAATCTACAAGTTGAAATAGCCGTACTAGATTTTGCCGGATTTCATCTTAGGGCTTTCTTCGTCATCAATCACGCTAAGCAATTGTCAAATGCGTTAGTACATCATTGATTGACTGACGTACGATTTACAGAACTTTGGCAGCTCCGACAGGTTTCAACTTTTTTCTAACTTCTCTCACCTTTTGCTACTATTACTCTGACTTTATTACTACTCTCGAACTGACAAAATGGTAGCACATTTATGTAGTTGAAACCCCAGAAAACACACGAAAACGATAACAGCTATACCCTATATTTGTTTACTCTGTCTATTGTATATGAACACCTCATCTGGTTACCATAAATTTATGGCGATATTACAAGTCATCAATAAACTATTCATTTCTCATACAAAAGATCGCCTATAATCCTGTTCATTTTACTCATGTTTTGATTTAAAGAAAAACCACGTGCCGTGAGTAATCAGGGCCATGCAGGGAAAGGTTAGAGAAAGGTCTTTCGGCCGCGACCTTATATGTATATGTATCTATATATAGCAGGTCATTGCAGTGCCTTGGCCAGCAGTTTTAGCATGTCTCTTCGTTTTGCCTGGACAAGAAAGCCCTGAGCTTGTACTAGTTTTTCCAGACTGTCCGGCAGCGCGCCACGTCGCATAACAGTGATGAAGATACGAGCTTCTGCTCGTTTGTCGGTCCATTCATCCGTAGCTCGCCGTTTGCTGCTTCACATTTCCAACCCTTCATGTGCCTTTGCGTCGATGTACGTACACATGTGGGCGCGTTTGCCTTGTGCTATTTTCTTTCTTGAAGTTTCTAGGGGGCGCAGTAGCAGTGTTGAATTCTAGCGACAATTATGCGTTTGTTGTGATGGTGCGACAAAGATAACGAATCCTGCTGTTTCGTTTCTGCAGGCACCGCGAGATGGTCCGAGTCTTCCTCCTTACCAACACATTTTCACATGTTCAGATGACGACTATGGAAATATGACGGTTTTGACGATAGTGGCGGTCCTTCTGCAGAGAAACAATCTCTACGGACGCAGTCGCAGTCAGTTTTTGTGATGCTGGCAAACGACGATCATCCATTACATGGCCACTTCAGCCATTGTGCTCCTCGGCTTCGGAGATGTTGCTGTCTTTTCTTTTCTAAGAGGAGAACGTGTGGTTCGTGTGCGTGCGCCGAGTCTGCTTCATTGCTTGCATGTTCATACGTTTGTCAGTCCGCCCGTCCGTCTCTGCCATTCTGTGGAACTCTGGGTAGTTCAGTTTCTCGTTGTTCTGTGTGTTGTTGCTTGACAGCGCTTTGGGTCAACTTTCCTCCTCTCCTAGCCCTGACCCGACTTGACTGCTTTCGGCAAGGAGGGGCAAGAGGAAAGACTACGGGACGTGTTAAATACCGAACGTCAAACATCAACATAGAGCATCAAGCACGGGACCGAATCGAGCACAACTCGTCGCGACTGCCACGCGGAAATACGGGGCTAATATAACCGTTGCTAGCCAGGCACGTTCGTCACTGTGAATGGTGCCGCTGCTGCACGTTTTCGGAGTGAAGCGTGTGGCTTGGGTTTCGTTGGGTAGGCAAAGATTAACACCCGAAATGTTTAACTGCTGTCCCTAGTTGGTAGGCCCACCTTTTAGAGCAGCAGCCTTTTCTCTATTATTACCATTAGTCGATCCCAGCGTGTCGGTGCGTGTTACGATACGGCGCTATGACTCTATCGGATAGTTAACACACCAATGGTTAAAAAAGAAACATTTGTTTGTTTGCTATTGACGGACACCCGACCCTATCGGTCGCAAGGGCTCTTCTCTGCAGAGAAATGAACTTATCTGAAGAAGTAATATAGTAGTTAAGTGAACGGTATCTACATTGAGCATGTGGCTAGTGCGAGAGGTTTTGTTACCTCAAGACAGAAGAATAGATGAGTCAGTCCCTGAGTAGACCGTGTTTTGTTATGTATGAAGAAAAAGGTTTTTGCTTGTACAGACAATAAACACAGTAAATATCTGGAGCTATTGGTTAGCTTTGCTAGTACGTCCGTACGTTAACCCTTTGTTTTGCAATAGCAGTTAAGGTTTGCAATCATTACATGGTTTAGGTTTACATTTTTTTTCTCCATGTTTAGTAAGAACCAATGTCATAGATATTGCTGTTTACAGCCTTATCAACAACTGTTCCTCTGGATATATATATCTAATTTATAGTAGTGTGGCAGAAAAGTGCCTGAAGGTCAATACCGGTGCTTCAGATGTCAAACATGGAGCCATAGAGCGTCTAAGAAAGGTTTAAATTCAGCTAAAAGAAGACATACTTAAATGCAAAATATTTTCATGGACAATCAACGAGAAAATTCTTTATTTTATGTCCTTCAATAGGCCAATGCCAGCGATGTTTGGACAAATGTTCGCTTTTCATAGTTTGATATCCTTTCAATTATCTTGGTTCTGTATTTCTAAGACTGCCAACGGAACAAGGATTACTAACTATAATACGTCTTCAAATACAAACTTCCACCAAAAGTTACGGTCCATAACAGTTGCATTATCCAAAAGAACTGTCCATATACAAAATCTAATCTCGCTTATTGCCTTTTGCCTAACAAGCACCCTGTTGTTACTGCTGCTGGTGATGATATGTGTACGTACGTGCACGTGTACATCGATGTTCTACCTTTCTGCCCGTTTTGTGCACTTGAAACGGTAGCGGCACCGGCGACAACGGTAGATCGCATCGCATGCTATCATATTCTACATAGAAGTAGAGATATATTTTTTATCGTCGCCATGGGCGGCTCGTAAGGTATTTCGCATCTCGTCTATTCTCTCGAGCCATGAAGCTGGTACTGTTGCAGGCGCTAGTATGCAACGACTGACAAGTGCGTCGGTCGCTAGTCTCTGGTAAGCATGCTCACCAGGCATCTATCCACCGGCAGCCATCGGCCAGCCGTGCTCTCGACAATGCCGGACTTTACCGTCATAGAGTCATAACGCCATGTCTAGCATCGCGTCATTAGCCGGCCGGGCTCACTTACTTTGCTGGCCAGCAAAAAAACGACGACGGGGCGATGGGAGTGACGGCGATCAAGCTCTGTAACGTTGCTGACTGCTGGCGATACAACCAGGTGAGTGCTGAGGCTGTATTTACTGATCGCTTGCTTATTATTACTGGTAATCGTGGCTGTTGTCGGCTAGCGACTGCTGCTGACGGTGGCAATGCTCGTCGTCATATCAGATCGTTGTTGCCCTTAGCTTAACTTGTGGTGTTGCTACCGCCAGAGTTAGTGATGCTGCATAGTCCGAAGCCTGCTTCGCGGCCTGCGTGCTTACCTGGCTGGCCGATTGAGTATCGGGCCACTTCGCCGTAACAGGAGTAGAAGTCCTCACGCAGGGGCTCGTTGCTGCACCGAACGGAACAGGCTCACCCTGGGCTTGTCGTAGCATTAGTCGGGTAGTCACTCAGACTTGCCTTCCCAGCATTTCGTCTCTCTACACTGGCAGCAGCAGCAGCCAGGCACGCAATCGTCACACAAATATGACTGACTATATGTTTCAGCCGCGCGTTTTACGCTAAACGAAAGCACTGAATCGGCCAAATAGGCGAGCTTTGGACCCGGTCGACGGCTAACTAGCGGGCTCAGCAGCGTACCGCAATGCGAAGTCAGCAACGTGCTCTGCCTGTCGGTCTTCGGGTCATTGAACCCCGGATGGCTGACCGTTTCAGCGGCGCCTCAACGTCTGCGAGGCGAAAGCCATATTGTCGTGGCATCAAACAGAATATCCAGCCAGAAAACTGAGTGTCGCTTCGACTGGCGCGTATTACTGAAACGACGGTGGCGGTCACTGCCGTTGCCGCACTCAGCGTTGTCGAGCTTATAGTGCATCTGTTGTTGCCGCTTTCGCTCGCGGTGGCGGTGGAGAAGACGAAGTTCGAAAAAAAAAGACCGTTTTCAGCTATTGGCCGTTATCGCTGCCGGCGCTGGTGCTGCCGTTGCTGTCGTTTTCGCTGCGTGCGAGTAGCCGCGCATGATGTGAGAAGGACACTAGGGTGTAATGAAAAACCAGGCGAAGGGCAAACAGGACTAAAAACATGCGATTGCATACAGGCTGGTGGATAGTAGCAGGATGACTGTGGCAATCCGATAATGAGTTGGCTACAAAGCGAGACAGAATGTGTCGGTCTGAATAGGTGGTCAGCTAAAGTATGTAACAGTATTTATTGATAGAAAGGGAATGGAACGACTGATATGGTAAAAGAATGGGTCAACATTATGACCGAAATGTTCAATGGAGATCTCGCCCATGGTGCCTCAAGCGGCTATGGGCCATTCGAAAAATGTCGACAAGGCAATCACGGAAAGCCTGCGAAATTGCTGAGAGAAATTCGATGTATGACATAATTTGTAGAAAAGGTACAAACACCATTAGTGCTTTCGTCAGCCAGTCACTTACGAATACCTACTTCGAAAACGATGACGAAATATAAGTAAATCCAAAATAGTGGTAAAACCTGATGAGGCAAATGTATTGTTTACACACTATATTCCCTATATGCAATGCTTACATTTCGTAGGAGGGTGTTTTACCCCAATAGGAAATTTTCTAAAAATATTACTCTATAAAGCACCGAGGTCTGTTGTTTCCGGCTATACCTGTGGCAGCGAGCATTATCTATAATATTTCAATATTACAGGATCGAATTAAATCGACGTGTTAGCAGACGGTTTGATTTAAAAGTAGCTTTAAAGGAAGAAACCTACCGCAATTCTAGGACTCTTAACCTTGCCCCTGACTTTAACAAGAGTGAATGAAATCATCTTGTGCCCTCCGCTACTCCTGAAGGTAAAGTGAAGGTAGTAACGTGGCTTTCAAGTATTATATTTACAACCTGAAGGATGCACTCTGGTGTTTAAATTACTAAACATTAGCTACTTTGTTTTTTTTTTTATCACATATGACTTTAATTGCAAGTCCCTAGGGAAGATCAGAGCCCCGACGATATTTATTGGTGGCATGAGCTGAATGGGGTTTCATCTAATTTTTTGTGGTAATTTTCAGATATAAGGATGACAGTTTTAAAGGGTGGGCGATGTCAATGCTACCGAAAGTCTTATTTGCTTTGATCATTCCACTGATGGATTCGGTCTACAAGAAGGTCGCTGTATGGTTGAATGATAAAGGTACACAGAAAAAAACGCTGAATCCTTTACTATAATGCGTACGAAATTTCTAATACGGAACTCGTATTCGACGGTCATGATCTTGGCCAATATTAAATTTTTGCCAATTAAACGCACACATTGTGGTGTTCTGCCCTATGATGACAGTATATGGTCTCCAAATACTGTGACGATAATAACAAACACAGATGCTCGCTAGTGTTTACATTGGAGCAGTTAACGGCAAAAAAAAAAATCTTTGCAGAAAACTACCGACTTGAAGAAACTTACGAGAATCATCTCATCATGAAAATATCAGTGGTGAGTTGGTAGCACAATGTTAAGCATTTGTTTACCTAGTCGTATACTATCGTCTATGAAGCCAACAAGCAAGCCCCTTGTTTGATCGTATCCATTATGTCTTTGCTTCATAGGAGCTGCTGATGCGCGGAAGGAAACTAACTAATTCTGAATTACGTTCTAGTTCCAATTCGTCAATTCGTTCTTATCACTCTTCTACATCGCCTTCTACTTGCAAGACATGGACAAGCTTAAAGATCAATTGGCTGCACTTCTGATCACTCGTCAGGTAGTTGGAAACATTAAAGAATCTCTTCTGCCGTACGTAATTGAGACACTCTGTTTGGCAGAGATGACTGCTGCCAAACGTCGTGCGTCAATGATTCCAGCAGCAACGAACACCGACGAAGTGGGAGAGGAAGGCGAAGGCCAAGAAGCCCTCAGTGGTCAGCCCGAAGCGGTCTCGGAAACTGGACCTACTCAGGCTGAGATGGAGGCCGCTATGTATAGGGTGCGTGCTTGTATTTGGAATTGAACAAAAGAATACCAGAGACATTTGAAATGATGATGATGAACTAAACAAAACTTACTTACACGTTTTAAAGCTAAGAAAACGTTCAAGATTAAAAATAATTTTATGGAAACGGTTACATTTTCTTTTAGATAGTGTTACAAACCCATTATAACTGAGATTTAATCTCATTGGAACATCGTGCTGTACTTCGTCATACTCGTTGGATTTCAGCTAGCCATCCTTACCGGTTTGTTTGCCTATGTAAAGAAATAATAGATTCACTTTGATTTATATAGCCGATAAAACGAATCGGCAATCGTTAAATAGCCCCATCTCCGCTTAAGTTATGTAGGATAGATTATGCAATACTTGTTACAAGCGATACCCATTTTTGTGTGATGATACAGTATGAAGGAACGTTTGAGGATTATCTGGGAATGTTTATCCAGTTCGGATATGTGGTATTGTTTTCGTCGGCATTTCCACTGGCTGCCCTTTGTGCTCTCGTGAATAATCTGGTCAAAATTCGTAGCGACGCATTCAAGCTATGCGCCATATTCCAGCGACCGTTCGGGGAACCAGCCGAAAACATTGGCTCTTGGCAGGTGAGGAAACAAGACAGTCGCGGCACTTGTTCATATGCTTCGTATCCTACAATCTGCACTTCTTTCATTTGTCAAAACTACCTCAGTTATGATATTCAGCTTTGGCGTACGATATTCCGTAAAGTTTAATACTGAACTGGATGACCTTTATCTCATCGATTACCAAACCTTTTGTCATGTGATAGGGATCGTGCGTCGGTACCGACTTTCTCTGCCCCGTTTATCCTGACCCAATAATTAACACACCTTCGACTTTTTCTGCACTTTAGGACGCTATGGAAGTAATGGGAATGATCGCTGTACTGGTAAACTGTGCCCTGGTCGGACTTAACGGCCCGCTGGGCCGCATGTGGCCTCACCTCGATCCTCTCGAAACTCTCGCCTTAGTTGTATTGGTTGAACATCTGCTTCTCCTGCTAAAGTCAGCGATCGCGTTCGCTATTCCCGATGTCCCTCATTGGGTGCAGACCGAAATGGCTAAGGTTGAGTTTCAACGACGGGAAGCCGCCAGGGTGAGAGAACTATTGAGCTCTGCACTTACTTTTTTTTATACCAACTGTTTGTAAAGCTGTACGACTGTTCGAAATAGCGTTTGTGAGTAAATCCGTTTCATTGAAGTAGGCAGTGGTAGCATTTATTACGGTACATTTTGCTTCCATATAGCGTCACGTAAATAGCAACCCTCTAATTTTGATCGTCGTTAGTAATGAGCTTCCTGTTAGAGAAAGCATTAAGCCGAGTTCCACACATTTTGACTTTTTTTAAAATTTCAATTCACTTCAGCATAAATAGCATCGCGCCTTAACCACGCTTCGAATGATAGAAATATTTAATTACGGGCTACAGAATTAGAGTTCTGCGTTGATTTTAGCTAATCTGTCTGTATAAAAGCGCAGCGTAATTGCTGGGAACTTAGAGAGATCAATCTGCGATTTTTGATAATTCTCTTCGTCTGAATAAACGGATATTTGTTTAAAAGCGTTGGTTTTTAACGAAGGGACATGTGCATAAATGTTTCTTTTATCATGGATAGTCCACAGCTAAAGCGCTTGCGTTCATTGCGAAGAATGATTGGATAGTTGGCGTTGTCGAGCCGTAAACTCCTTGAATTAACACCTTTGCGTACTTTTTATAGTAAGTCAACTTTTTAGAAGTGAGATAACAATCGATATATCCGTGTTTATTGATTTTATCGATCGGGGCTGTAGAAGCTGCCATGCACTACGGTAACCCAGTGTTTACTGGGTTGCCTTCTCTAAGGCTGCAACTTCTCAAAGCTGATGAGACAATCTGAACACTGATGCTCTATAAAATCGGGGCAGGCACTGAAGTTAGCAGGACCGTTATATTTTTTTAAAAGTACGCTGGAGATACTAACTGTAAGATTTGTTCTTAAGACTTAAGGGATTTTCACAGATCAATCTATTAGAAAATATGTTCTTTTCTGTTTGGTGTTTGGCGGTTAGTTAATAAGCCGAACATACGAAATAGATGAAACGAAACAGAAACGTGGATACGAAAGTAAATTCCCTAACGAATAAAGATTACCTATATGTTAGGACCTAACATGAAATTCGAGGTCCTTTCGTTTGAGCCATGACATACTGCTCTAACGAATAGGCTTCCCTTGGGTGGTAAAATAGAAGCCCAGTTAATGCACGTTTCATCTCTCAACTACCTGATTGTAATGCAATCCCTTCACCTCAAATAGTCCGAAATTCACATAAGCGACAAGAGGAGATCCTTCACCGGCGCCGTCAAATGCGTCCGCGTGCATCAAACACGATATGTAAATTGATATGTATGCGCGCAGTATCTCGATATGCGCGCACGAACCGTGCCCAATGCACTATTTACTAAAGGCCATCTCCATATTGTGTACTTTTGCTTATATCCTGTCTACATCTTTTAGAGGAGCGTTTGTTATATGACCTGGATGGCTGATGCACTTATGTAGATTCGTGCTTAAAATTATGGGCCTGGTTTTACAAGTGCTAATTAAGTTTCAACTCAAAAGAGAGTGCGATATGTTAGCTACTTTTTAAGTTAGCGTTTTAAGGCGACGCTACCAGATCAGCCAGAAAAACGAATCCTAGACAGTCGCCAATCAATGGGAGATAAATTACTATATTTGAGATGACAATGCATTATGATAAAATAGTCCTGTATTTTAGATAGAACTTCGGCTCTGCGACCAAAATAGCGGCCCGGCATAAATAGCTCTGATATTATAACGGAACGGCCTAGCATCCTAAACCATGTTTGAGCTTTATAATTTATGTATTATTTTTAAGACTGTATTGCACTTATAGACGGATATTAACAAACTAACGTATGAAAAATAGCACGATAACCATGGACATACCAAGACTCTCCTATATTTAGAGCTGGTCAGTTCTAGCAACAAAACAAGTCAAAGTAGACAGGACCCTTTAGCTAGCCCGGAAAGTCCCATCCTGATTTTTTAATTAATGAATAACTTTTTCTACTAGAATGTAGGTTAAGATCTAACGCTTGCTTTTGACCGATACAGCCTTATTGGATATTTTTATTAGCTATATTGATTTCTAATCATTTTGAGGATTTTTTTTTAATATTCTTCCGTTTCTCCCTTGATTTTTCCGATATCAGCACCACACGCAAGGAACGTTCTCTTCCGCGGAAGTGAAACCCGCTCATACACAAACTGATCAGGCACCCGTGGAAGACCACGGCGTTCAGACCGAATCTGTCGACGCTCTCGACGAACAGCTGGTACCTCAACGTTGCACTGATAACAAACTAACAAGGTCACGGACCGAAAGCGCGTCTGCGTCGCCCCCGCACTGGCGGAAAAGTCTCACTGTCATTGGCCAAACACTTACGGAACGCCTATAGTAACGAAAGCAGTTGACATAAGCGCGGACAATGTGTGAATATCTATTTCCCAAACGTATTCACTATAACAACTATCGAACTAGTAGTTATTATGGCTTGTCCCGTAAGAAGCTCTGTACAAATATAAAAATTGCGCGTATACAAGACGTGTTGAATCCCTACTTCTATTTATTCCTCTCATAGACATCGTTATATATCTGTACTATGCACTAGCCGCTACATAGATTAGCATCCGACAACGACGACGGAAGATTTGTTTACGGGCGCGATAAAACGGCCGCTAATTTGTAATCACGCAGGCAAAATATGTCGACTTTCTGATATCTCTATTCGATGAGCTTTCGGATGGCTTCGGAATTGGCCGAATGTTTTTGTCTGTCAGCACAGCGGTGTCGGGCAAACGAAGCATTTGTTCGAAGACATTGATATTTAGGTGTCTTTTTAGATCTACCATCTAGTCGTTACTGACGTCCAAATAAGAACTCGAGCGCAACACAAATGAATAAGTACTGTATATTCGAGCGAGTGGTCTGTAAATACTTAGAAACGAACTGCATTTCAATATATTTGCGGGAGTCCAAGGGAACCTTGTATTGGTATGTGCTAAATAATAAGTTTCTATCCTAAGGGCTTACCGTTGTTTGTAACTTGAAGCGTATCCTACGCAACAATACACGACCTCTTCCTGGTGATGATGGTATACGATACGAATTACACTTCAGAACGTAAGCTACAAGGCATCTGTCTGAACGGCAGCGGCGTGCCTTTTTGCTTTCAAAGGTAAAAGGTTTCGTGGGAAAACTCGCCAATGTAACAGAACGAGTGATATATGAAGTATGAACAAGCAATTTAGTCAACAGCCTTCTTCCTAAGTTCTATCGCTTCACTATAATCATTGTGCGACGAGCAAATCAAAAGCATCAACTTTTTGATAAACTTTCGGCACACCTTTCGATAACTAGAAACGGTCTAGCCATCTTGACAGCACGCTTTTAGTTGACAAACAAAATTCCCTTTAAACGGCGTCAAGTCAAACTTTGGTCGCAGCGCGTACGGCCCACATCAGGTAAGCTTGTAACAAATGCGTGTGGGATTTCAACAGATCACCGAGACCAGAAAAACTATCGTTTGCCAAATATCACATAATTAACATACGTGGCATCTGCGTGACTATGTACGCAAACCACACGGAACGTATAGGCCGTCATACTTGAATAGTCGCGGTTTCGGAAGCGCATCTATTGAGATCGCTTCCAGCAAACGAAGTGTCTCATGCAGATGTACGAAGCACGTGATGACGTATAGCAGACAAGTGTAATCACGACCGTAAGAAAGTATTTCCGATATTTTCCAATGAAATGGCCCACTTCTAGATTTGATAATATATAATATGATAGATAATGAGCTCATTGCCGAACGCCGATGAGTGCATGTTCGTTAGCAATGAATATTTAATAAATTATCGACTTTTCTATGAGGATATTATAGTGCTTCTATTGAGGTGGATCGAATAAAATGGTGGGTGCTCACTCATATCCCCAATCTATATACACGGATCCGCATGAAATATATATTCGGGTTTTTTTCAACGTCAATACACAATGCTGTGCCATATGGTCGTTCTACTCTCACATTACTAATAAATAGAGGCAGATAGCTATCACACAGCGTACTGATATATAGCACGGTCACATCTTACGTAAGTTTAAATAAAATTGATCCTTCTATGCGCAAGAGCGTACAATGACTAGCTCACTTGAACGCTATTTAAAAGCAAACATTCTAAACGACAGGCACTCTAACCGACCATTTCATACTTGTGCAGACTCAGGCCTCTCCAATCAGCTATACGAGATACGATTTTTTTTCTCTATTCCATATGTAATTTGGCTGGAAGAGCCGTGAACCATTTTGACGTTTAAGAGCTTCTGTAGACGATGATCTCTTCGAAGTAGTTTGACCCTAGACCTACCCGGCTTATATAGATGTTGCCCTATTTACTCCTTCCAGTTATAGTAGAGGCAACACCATGTGAATGCTAAGAACGTTTGCGTTTACTGCGATAGTCATTACTACCTCTGACAACATTCGTCTTTACTTCGCTATAGAAATCAGTCTACCTTCGACAACATCAATTAAAGCGATCATTGCTTTCAGTAACCTTACGCTATTCCAGTGATCTAAAACAGAGACCGGCGGGAAATCTAAATAACAGATTTTGAAGCACTATCTGTTGATAAGAATAATATTAGCGCAAGACGGCGTCTGAGCTACACAAGCGCGGATGAGGTTGCCAGTCCGCAATGAGTGAGCTGATGCCCGTGAGTCTCGCGATGGCCCTACTGTTTTCTTATCTCAATGATGTGCTAGACTGCGTCAGACATATAGTTTGATAATGGGGTCGTACGAAGCACAGACTAACTAGTTTGATAGGTATTCAATTTAGAAATGCAGTTACCGTCAAATCTCATGTCTGTTTATTCCCTGCTGATAACATTAGAGACGTTATGTTAGAACCATGTTTCACAGTTCCAGTGTCAGCGCTGACCTCTACAGGCGGCCTCTTATGAGTTGAGCAAGCGAATTGTTGGCAGATGGATACGCCGAAAACGGCGTTATTATACTTTAGGGACATTATGTGAGTATCGGTATAGCAGCGAAAACGCTTGGTTTTTATGGGAGTAAGGGCTATAACTATACTCTATCATCAAAGTTGCCAAAGAAATACTAGTAATAATACATTTATGACAACCGAGGTGCCTGTCAGAGATTTTCTGCAATTGGACGAAATCGTTTGTTATGCTATCGACTGCCAACTTCAAATGTCTAACGGGATATTCCAACAGTACGTAAACTATTGCGCTCTAACATGCACTTAGTTCACAGCTAAGTTTCCGATGGTTACTTGTACATATTGGAACTTAAACTACCAGGGTTGTCGGCTAACGGCCATGTCAGGTGTATTTACTCCTCGTATAGACCAACATCTCGAGCAATTGCGAGTTTATATTCGACAATGACGGCTGACACTCAGGGTGTTGGACCCTACGGCCTGCAGACCCCCCACAGATTAAGATGATCCAGGTAGACTCAACGAGGTTCCGCTACGATGGCGATCTCTTCCTGAAGGTTCTGATGGCTCGAAATGCCGCAGCTTATTAGCAACGAGCGTAGATTTTGGAATCATACTTCTGCCACTGGTCTTAACAGTCAGCTACAACGGATCAGAATCTACTTTGCATCGCGTCGACTAGGTAAGACAACGAGTGTTCTTGACAAGCGACATCCGTCGAGTATCGAGGCGCTAAAATCATGCCACACAAGTGTGTTCATCCATTCTTAAGAATTCAACTGAGATCTAGAAGACCATTTTTCTAATAGCTGAAACGTTTGCAGAAGGTTATAGTAACTGAGGTCTAGAATACGATGTTCTGGGCACTTGACAAGTTATCAGAACTAACCACTACTGAGAACTAGATGCCGAGGTAATCTTCTAGAAGCCCATAGTTAAAAATGTATTGAACATCTTTGTAAATTATCTTTTTTTGATGACGAATTTTCGCTTGATGCCTTCCAGCGTGTCAGATGTACGCTAATTATTGGGGGATAGTGAAACGTTACGGGAAGTTAGGGCATTATAAAAATCTTTGATTACATCCGTTCTGACACGAAATATATTGAAAGCTAAACAGGCACGCATCGCTTTTTGTCCGAGTAGGAACTTCAGCGAGCGCCACATTTTCACCTCGTCATAAATGGTTACGCGGAATTCAATGTCATCCCTCGTAATTACCAGTAAACCATTTATTTTTCATCATTGTTCACAATATTGTACCGTTTTAAGCCTATCCGTAGTTGTTACTGGAGCTCGGGTTCGATTGCATTCTGCGTGTGGTCGAGCGTCACCGCAATGGTAGTTTACTTAAAGGGCAATTATGGCATTTCGAGTGACGTGAATAAGTGACCAAAGCAAGTGCTTCCTCTGCAGAACCATACGAAGGTTGCTCAAGAGGATTAACGGTACCCTTTCTCTTACCAACAGAGCCGTGCTCGTTTCAATGATATAAATATGCGCTTCCTAATGTTATGCTGTATTATTTGGGATCATGTAAAATGAAGACTTAACGTCCTTGCTTCGTTTGGTTTCGACTCGTTTATCTAAGAATAGTTCGCTATTAGTTGAAATAGTAGCCCATGCAAAAGATGCATGTAGCATACAATGTAAAGCTGAAAAAATTTCAGATCAAAGGTAAGCCGTGCAATATTTTCAGAACATCAAATCATTGCAACATACTGAAATTGGTGTTAGTTCATCTCTTATAGTTTACTAATAAAGAACACAAACAAGTATAATAACGCAAAGAGCCAAGAGCTTTTCTAGGAAGTCTGGTTATCTCTAATTTAGACATATTTTCAGTAGAGTTTGATTCCGATTATAGGTGAAGTTTTTTTTATAACCGCAAACTGGCTGGAGCGCGGCTGCTGCTGAAAACCCGCTCGAGGGCGGTCTTTTAAATCTTCTAAGAGTTTGGGCATAGGACAAACTCCTTAGCATAGTGAAAAAGGTAACGCAGGAACCGACCGTACTATACCAGATATTATGAACACAAATGTTTCGTTTCCAAGCCAATGATTCTGTTCCAAGCCATAGTTAATGATAAGTACGTCCAGCGACAAGTGGATTCCACGGCAGGGCCTTTTAAGAAGAACGGATGATACTTGCTGTATTAATTTTAGTATGCTAGCGTACTAAATGGCTGGAATGTACTGCTTCTACGCGACAATGTCTACGTAGTTGAACATTGCTTGTGCTAAATATTCGGACTGTGTCATAGGCCCCAGGGCGAACCTTAATCAAGTGATTGTTGAAGGTCGGGGATGAAAGTGGTTGAGGGGCCGTCTAGGTTATCCGACAGCAGTAAGTATTCTGATGCGATCATATGCAGCGTATATTTAAGCAGTACCTTTTTAAAAAGGTTTTCATTTTTTTTTTCGAAGAAGACTTCATTAGGTCACTCTGGCTTTGTTAAATATTTTCTGGTAGGTTCAAGCAAATCGGGCCCTATCTGTTAAAACGTATTTATTAAAACGAAGCTTACGTTGTGCAATGATAAAAACCGCATCGGTTGGGTTCCTCATTACGTCAACGTCGTTACCTATAGGTATTGACCATTCGATATGTTGCGTCATTGTTTTGTACAGGCAACGCGTGTTAGTTTAAAGCTTACACCGACCAGTAAACCTGGAACAGCAAATTCGTCGTTCGTTACTAATAGCCTGCGGAAATCGTTTTTAAGAATCACCGTTTTTCTACTAAAAAAAACTGTACGAAGTATGCACTTCTAAACCATTCTGATCTCCTCTAATTAACAGGACTGGAGCTTCCAAAAGCCGCCATGTTATCGACATGGTGTGTCCTGCAAACGTCGAAGAAATTGTGTGTGAGCAACTAAACCTGCAAAGGTACCACCCGTTGCGTAAGAGCGTTTTTCGTGATGCAATTTTGCACATTTAAATACAGACATGTTTTTTCGCGCAAACCGTATCTTTTTCGAAAATTGCAGTTTGCGCATAGGCCAGGTTCCATAATTGTTCCTCAAGCTTGGTTTCTCTCTATTATTTCTTCAGTGCAGCATCAGCTCT